CAAAAGTGAGTGAATATAACCGAAAAGTGAGTGAATATATCAACTCCCTATATATATTTGCACTTTTAGACTGCCACACAATAACTGTCGCGCAGGTCCCTCCGTCCGCCTTTTGCTCACGAATTCTGTCTTAGTTCCGCCGAATGTGTTACGTGGTACGCACTATTCATTGTATACGTACATTACACTGTCGACCCTCAAAATATGTTTTGAAGAACCAGTGGTTAGAAGAGGTCCTTAGGACACGTCGGTAGCCAGCCTCATATACAATTTAGCGCGATTAACCAGACTTCATTTTACGTTTATTGCACGGAGTATTTACAGAAAAACTGTACTCGTAAACAATACACTTTTATGCAATTAGGCCAAATGTACTTTCGTGTAATTATCTAAAACACACTTCACAATTTGTTACGATGAAACATCGTAAGGAAGTGGCTCGAATCACACGTGATTTGTAAGCCTCACGTCATAGAATACAGATAGTTTTATCGTTGAAAATGTTTGTAACGGGATACATACTGCACGATTGTGTATATACACCATGCACTTATCGACGGGGACTTGTGTCACTCCCTGTGGACCTCGGTGTCAAGTTTCTTGACTTCGATAGCGTGGAACGCTGCTGAGTCTTAGACTTGAATTAAAGGCATGACCTTATCCTTGGTATGGCACGGTTAAAACACCATAAGCCGTAGATCAATTGGAGGTCGAAGATCTTGGGCGCGACGCGCACGTCACCTGTGGAGCTTTGGTGAGTCATGAACCCACCTCTGCTATTAATCAGAAGCGCTATTGGTGCGAACACTGGACCGAAACGATCAATGTGCTGCAGATCGGGGTATCCGAGCTGATGGAACGTGGAGCAGGACGTAACCCACTGAGCACTGCTCAATTATCGAAGCAGTTGCACTCTGCCAAGAATGGCATGGTCGGACAAGGACCGATGCATCAAGGGGGAGGCGCGTGGAGTGGCTCAAAATCTACTGGGCACTGCTCACGTGTCAAAGCAGTTTCTGCATGACAGGAGTGGCATGGTCGGACGAAGTCCGAGGCACCTTGGGCAAAGCCCTTCTGATGCGCGGGGAGTGGCACGTTATCCACTGCGGAAATAGCAGCACTTCATCGGATGATGTTAATAACATCAGGGCTCCGACAGATCAGGAAGTGAAAACACTGGACGCGGCTGAGTGCGTGTTCCCACTGGTTTCGAAGAGACGTGAAACCTCAATAGAGAGGAACAGCGAGGCCGTATGTTATCTGCATTACGCAGGGCGTCGACCCTGACCCAGACTGTGTCTACCGTAGACGATAGCGCGCAGCTATAAACCCTTGACAGTGACGGGGGAGGTGACAACCTCGAGGCTGTTCCCGCGTTGGATGCTTTTCTTGAGCTGGACTAGATGTCCTTCTAAGAGCTTGGCGGTGTCTTGAACGCAGTCGATTTATCCGAAGTGGTCATGATACGATCGAACGGGGAGATCAACTCGTCCTCGCTTCTGAATGAAGCTGTCCTAGATGACACCAAGAAGGTGCTGAACGCACGAAGTGGATTGTCGATCCTGAAAGATCCCTCGGATCCGTACTATCCTTTGGTAAAGAAATTTTAAGACGTCGTCTCCAAAGACCCGCCGTCGGTCCTACCTTCGGACCGAGGTGTGCGTCATGAGATTGACCTGGTTCCGGGAACCAAACACTGCGTAACACGCCAATGGACCCTGCCCAAAGACCAGTGTGACGTCTTTGACGCCTTTTTTCGTGCTAAGCACGACCAGAAATGGTGCGTGAGAGCAAGTCTTCCCGTTCGACACCCACGTTTTGAGGCCGGAAGCCGAACGGCAAGTGGCGTATCGCTCATGCTTACAATAAGCTAAGCGCTGCCACCATTTCGGCACAGACGCCGATTCCTTGGAAGGATGCTATCCAGAATAATATGATTGGCTGTACAAAGTACAGTGCACTCTACTTGGTAGATGTATACTACCAATTGCTCATGAGAGCGAGTGATATTCCGCTGACAGCGGTGAGTACTCCGATCGAAATGCTCCGGGAGTGGCTGGTGATGCCCCAAGGGCTGTCAAATGCATCAGCAACATTTGATCGTCTTGGGATGCAGTTGTTCAAGCCCTAACGAGCGTATGCACAAACATACTTTGAAGACATCCCCATTTACAGTCGTGCGGGGCACAGGAGGACAGATGAGGAAAATCACATCGTCTATTTGAGAGCGGATCTCGAGTGCATGTGTATGAATAAACTGTATGCTAGTGCAGATAAGTGCATCTTCAGCGCTGAAAAGTTCCCTTTTTTGGGTGCTTCATTGGGAAGCGTGGCCTTCGAGAAAATCTCGCTAAGGTCAAGGCCATTGTGGACTGGCCGGCTCAAAAGAACCAAAAGGACTTGGGCTAGTGGCTTGGCCTCGACAACTACTTGCGCATGTATAGCGCGATTTATGCGGAAATGGCACGGCCATTGTCGAATCTCCTCAAGAAGCATACGGAATGGCGTTGGGACACCGAGCATCGGGAGGCTTTTGACAGGGTCAAAGACAGCCTTCTTCATGCATCAATACTAGCTTTGCCAGACCTCGTTTGTCCTATTGGTGTCGTCTATGACGCTTCGGGCATTGCCATCTGGCTGTGCACTGCTGCGAGCAGACGCCGACGGTTGAGATCTGGTGATCGCGTCCAAATCTCGCCAGCTAAAGGCTGTGGAGAGAAACTACTTAGTTCACGACAAGGAATTACTTGCGATGAAGTATGCACTTTCAAAGTTTAGGGTGCACCTACTTGCGATCTACATAGAACATGCGTCATTACGCGCTGCAACTGGGAGAGGAATAGCCGAACGGCTAGCTGATAGCTGAATCGGTCCCCTCAGTGTCCGTACGGAAGTCGATGACTTCTTGTCTACTACCGTAGTTCACAAAAATATTAATTGAGGCATTTTCAATTAGCGATTGAGTTAACATTAAAAGTGACCAATTCTCACAAGAAATTGTGGTTAATTTGTGAACTTTTGATGCACCATTTTCAAAATTCAAACAGGTGAAAAAAACTTTATTCCAGGTCCAAAGATCGCTGATTGTCGATAAGTGATTGATATACACCGTTCTCCTCGTGTTTCGCCAAGCATTCAGCCA